AAGACAGCCCATCAAAGTGAACACATTGGGACCTTTCAGAGAGGTAGTTCACAAACCACCCCACTGCATGGCTGGACATGCCTATACTGACCAGCCTTTGCTTCAAAATGCAATGATCGACAGTATCAAAAGCTTTGGATAGGTCAACAAATAGAGCTGCACAACTCTGCTTATTATCTAAAATACTCGTAATATCATTTACCACTTTCATTGTGGCAGTGATGGTGCTATGTTGCTTTCTGAAGCCTGACTGATGTTTAGACAGGATGTCATTTGTACATAAAAACTCCTTTACTTGTTTACTCACTAGGCGTTCAAGAACCTTGGCTAGAACTGACAATTTAGAGATGGGTCTATAATTGTTTAATAAGGTGGCCTCCCCTCCTTTTAGTAGTGGCAGGACATAAGCTGACTTCCATACTTTTGGGATTTTGTTCGTGCTGAGAGAGAGGTTAAAAAGAGTAGTAAGAGGTGGAGCAATAAAATCTGCAGCTATCTTTAAAAAGAAAGGTTCTACATTGTCCGGACCAGCCGGCTTTTTAGGATCTAGCTTGGTTAAGACTTCACGAACAACATCAACAGTAAAAGGAGTAAAACTGAAAGGGTTTTCCAGACCACATTGTTCTGAGTCACCGACTGTGGTGTTCACAGAAGCAGAATTAGAAACAGAATGAAACAGAGAGCCACAGGACACAAAATGCTCATTAAAACAATTTAACATGGTAGCCCTATCCGATATAGTGCCAGATGCTGTGGTAATGCACGGAGGTAGCTCATTACGGATATCACTGGTGGATATCGATTGTATGGCTTTCCAAAATGTTCTAGGGTTGTTCAGGTTCTTTGTGGTAACTGACAGATAATACTTAGATTTCGCACTTTTGACATGTGAAGTGAAGCTATTTCTTAGCTGCCTAAAACGCAGCCATTCTACCTCTGAGCCTGATTTCCTAGCCTTTGCCCAGGCCTTGTTTCTCTCATGTAGGAGACTAGATAATTCAGCAGAAAACCAAGGATTGTCTCGTCCCTTCACTCTAAATGTACGCAGGGGTGCATGTCTATCTATAATTTCCATAAAACCAAGATAAAAATAAGACCATGCAGTCTCAACATCAGCACACGAATCAATTTTTCCCCAATCAAACCCAAACAGATCATGCACAAAACCCTGCTCCACAAAATGTTTTATGTCTCTCTTGATGATAATACGAGGTTTAACCTTTTGGACTTTTGTGTACCTATTTGTGGCTACAACACAGTGGTCACTCAGATCATTCACAAATACTCCCACAGCTGAGTATTTATAGGGAATATTAGTTAGAATGAGATCAATTAGGGAGGATTTATTTGGGGACTTAATATTAGGGCGAGTAGGACTGTCAACAACCTGAGTAACATTTAAAGAGATACAAAGGTTTTTAAAATCCTCTGACACTGTAGTTAACCAGTCCCAGTTAAAATCTCCAAGTAGCACTATTTCCTTGTAGTCTAGTTGCGATAAAAGATTTGCTAGTGAAGACAAGGAGTCTTTGACAGCTGAGAGGGGTCTGTAACAGCCCACGACCATGACCTGTTGACCCTTTGCCACTTCTATATTTAAGGCTAAAAATTCAAATTGCTTACTGATAGATTTGGAAACTAATGTGGATACACTGAACTTTTTCTTAACATAAATGGCAACGCCACCACCTTTATTAGGCCGGTCGGTACGATACACATTATAACCATTTAAGGCAATGTCAGAGGCCAAAATAGATTTATTTAGCCATGTATCTGATAAAACAATGACGTCAGCGTCAGTCGAGCTCGCGCAAATATGGACAAAATCTAGTTTACCTAACAGACTGCGCACATTCAAGTGGATGAAACCCAACCCAGATCTAGCTTTAAAATCAGCAGGAGTAGCGATCTGACTACTACTACTGGGCGGACCAGGGTTAGGTTGTACATTTCCGACAGTAATAACAACAAAAAAACCAGGCATCTTTTCCTCTTAAGCGACACACATACATTGTCATCTACTTTAGAATCACCGGAAAAGTCTGCGAGAGTGTGATTAGAGCTTAAGAAGCAGTCCTGAAGAACCATCATCGCAGGAAAACAAAAAAGACAAACATATTTTGTCGAGCAGATTGACTGTGACAAGGCAACCGGTAATTGTTTGTGTAACACATCCGAACCTTTGCAGGGGATGCCCACTGCGGGTGGCAGAACAGACCTGAATCCAGTAGGCTCCTCAGAATGACTAGAGATCTTCTCATAGTCCAAAATAGTTAACAGGCACAGCAGAATCCCGATATGGGCCATTTTCCCAGACCAGCACACAGTATCCGCGATGTTCCTGGAGCAAAATCAGCACAGCAGCAAAGGACAGACGAAAGCAGCAGCGTGGTATCCCCGGGGTGAAAGCAGGCCTAACCAGGACAGGTGGAAAGCAGGTCCCAGCCGTGGTAAAATCCTCCTCCGCACAGCAGCACACACCCGGTGGAAGCAGGCCAAGCCCGAAGCGTGGATCCACTCCGTCTCTCCGCGACGACTCCGGGGTAAAAACCTCCCCAGTGCAGCCGTACTCTACAGGTGGGAGCAGGCCTCTGTAGATCGCAGATTGCAGGCAGCAAACAGGTGGAGCCGCTCCGTCTCTTCGCGACCAGCAGGCCTCCGTAGATCGCAGATCGCAGGCAGCAACAGGTGGAGCCGCTCCGTCTCTTTGCGACGTCTCCGGAGGAAAACACCACAGTACAGCCGTACTCGACAGGTGGGAGTTGGCCTCCGCAGACAACTAAAACTACTACTTGTATAAGCAGGGATGGCTAAATGTTTGTGAGCAGGAGATGTTTGTGAGCAGGAGAGCTAGATGCTAACAGATGCCAGATGCTAACAGGCAGTGGGAGCCTGTAAAAAGCCTGTCCATTCACTGAACAAGGGAAATTACAGTCCTGCCATCCTCTCTAGTGTCATGATGAGGGTCACGTAAAGCACGGTTAATGTATTATATTATTGAGGTAGAATTGTCCGGGGCTACAGAAAAAACATTCGGGGCAGGCCAGGCGACGCCACTGGCGAGCACACACACTACAAAGATGTAAAATATTATTTTACCAACAATGTGGAATTTATTAGCTACATATTACACAGATTATGCACAGCGGGAGCAGCAATAACCGTCAAATAATAATTCAGACAGGGGAGCTCCGCACCGCCTGCCTGCCGCTAGGGGGTGCTGCAGCGCCCTCAGCACCCCCCTTCCCGCGCCCATGAGCAAGAGTTACGGAAATAACAAATAGGAATAAACAAAACCTAATCCATGACAACAACAGAACAAAACGTTTAAAAAAATGCTATATCAATTTTCAAAATCATACCAAGTGGAGTGAGGCCTGGGTCATATTTGTTGAATATCTTAGAACATGACCGGGAGCCATCCAATCACAGGGCCTCGAGCTATATACAGCCCCCTCCCCCTCCCTGGTCGCTCTCTAAATGCCGGGTAAAGGAGATAATGGGGGGGGGGGGTTATTAACCTTTTCCGCTTTAGAGAGTTTTTAGCGGTGAAGGGCTATGGCGTTAGTGCGCTGAGGATTTCATCCCCTTTAAATCATCTTCTGCCACAAGGGCTGCCAAATGGAACCAAAGAGCTTAATACACACACACACACACACACACACACACACACATACACACACAAAGCAGCACACCGGAATTTATGGCATCCATATATCTCCCATTTATGCTTCAGATACAGTGGAGGCTGATCCCTAGTAGTGTGCTGGAGGAAAGCAGGCTCTGACCTCATAGTCCCCAGGGTGGATGGTATTTTTTGTTTCCACTCAGTAGCACAAAAAAAGAAACGCAAGTAAAAAAGAGTTGCTGTTATAGCTGTGGGAGTCATTTGAAGGAACGGGTTGCCAGGTATGGTACCTCATCCATTGTTTAATACATCAATGCAGGGGGGCAGCAGGAGGTTAAGTTGCTGAGGGTCTCCCACAGAAGCTTTGGAGGATGGAGAGAGAAAATAATTATCTTATCGCAGTGCCTTTCCGCTTGAGGGCTTGAAGACATTTTATGTTTTGAGGGGCTTAATACAGTGTTGGGGAATGGTTCTTAGAATGTGCTGCTGCAACAGGAAAATATTCTATTTAGTATTCCAGTCTGGTATATCATATCACTGCTGTCCTATGAAATCCTCCAAAGTGTCAATTTTTCATGAGTGAAGAAACCTTATTTTCTTCCTGTCTGGCAAAGCATTGTTCTGGAGTTTTTACATGGTTTATTTAGCTCAAGAAGTGGGAGAATTTTCACAACCAAGACAATAGTTCATAAGCCTATCTGAAGATTATTAAAATTATTCGAGGATATATATTAGATCATAGGGTTTTTCGAAGTGGGATGCAGGCCAAGGGATTTTGTTAATAGAATAGATCAGATAGAATAGCCTCAATGTGTGTGCATTTTTAGAGATAGTTCTGAGATAGTTGTATTTGGGGAATATGACTGTTTTCCCCACTTTTCTATCAGCCGAAACCAATAGATTATAAGTTATATATTAAAAGTTATGTTTCTGGTATAGTCTGAATGTATGTGAAACAGCTTTGTCTATGGGATAAAATAACATTATCATGATCCTATAGGAAAACATAAATTGAGGGAAACCAAGCAAGTATAGTAAGGTGAGAGTAAGCCTTTGCTGCTCTCAGTCTCAGAGTGTGCTGATTTATCATCTAATTCAGTCTAAAAGGGACCATTATTTACAAAATAAACATCATGCTGTGTTGGAGAAGACTTGAAACGAGCAATTGAGACGATAATGATTGAAAACTGAGGGGAATAATCAAGTGAGATCAAGGGAAATTTTCTCATAGACCTTTTTTGCAACCAGACACTTGCCTAAAGGGATGCTCGCAGTCTAACAGTTTGAAAACCCCTGCTTAAACATGGTTTTCTTTGGATAGCAAAGTCGGGTGAGCTGCTCAGTCTTTGACCCTCTTTGTTTTTGATTCCAGGTATAAGTAATGCAGAGGCCAGGCAACCAGGCAAGGCACCCAACTTCAGCGTGAACTGGACGGTGGGTGACCAGACGATGGAGGTGATCAACGCGACCACAGGCAAGGACGACATGGGCCGCGCTTCACGTCTCTGCAAGCATGCGCTATACAGCCGCTGGATGCGCCTGCACTCCAAGGTAAAAGTACTGTACTCTAAAATATACCGTTTTTAAGCATTTCATTCCATATCATGAAACTGTTTTATACCCTGCCATATTCATCTGTAGTTCTGGCTGGTGTTGCTTTGGTCACATTTCTCTGATTCATCATCTGGTCAGGTTTTATTGAATCAATCATATGTTTGTTTGACAAGCATATATGCAAGTTTTACTGTGTGATTGGGTTGTAAACCTATAAGAAGTAGATGATATCACAACTATTCAGAGATGGACTACTCGAGTCCTGGACTCGGACTCGAGTGCCGATTTTCGGGACTCGACTCGGACTCACGCACTGATTGACGCGACTCGGACTTGGACTCGTGAATTCTCACGCACGATGACTTGGACTCTGACTCTTGAATTATCGCATACGCTGACTTGGACTCGGACTCGTGAATGTTCCCCCCCACGATGACTCGGAATCGACTCGTACATTGACGCTTGGACTCGGACTCGAGCAAAATGTCTCTGGAGTATGATGTCCTCTATCCTGCCGTGTGCTGTGCACCTGCGAGGCGAGTTCACGTACTGGGCCCCGCTATTCCAGTCTAAAGATGTCTAGGACACACCCCGCATCGTGCTGTATGCTTTCACACATTCTGCTTCCACATTGGAAAAGAGCAGCGCAAAATGCTCGTTATGTGGAAACAATATTGAAGAGAAGGCTCCGCAACACATTACTCTAAGGATCGAGTTCAGACATATAGGCTGTCTTGAACACTATCATCAGAGTAACATGATCTAATCAATAAATAAAGATTCAGCCGATAACACGAAAGCACATGGCTACTTAACATGCAGAATGATGTCATTTTGCATGCGAAGTAGCCATGTGCTTTCTGGGGCTAAATCTTTATCAGTAAACCGATTTAACCAGTAAAAGTTCCTTCAAAATAAGAGTCCCGATCTTATTACTATCAAAATAAAAGTGCAAAACGAAAACTTTACCATTTAACATTTCAAAACATATATCCACGAAGATTAATACATGAAGACTTGTGACTTGGACTTGACTTGGACTCTTCTTAGGTGACTCGGACTCGAACACAGGTAATGATGACTCGGACTCGACTCGGACACTCCTTGGGTGATTCGGACTCGGACTCGACTACGACTCTCCCTTGGTGACTCGGTCTTGGCCTCGGACTCGAAGAGTCGTGACTCGAGAGTGACTTGGACTCGTGAATTGGTGACTTGACTACAACACTGCAACTACTTCACCCATTGGTTTATTGTCTACAGTTCTGAAGCCTAGAGTTGAAACGCCATCTTGTTTTTTTGGTACCAGGAGTGACAAGAGAGAGCTCTAAGTACAACTTAACACATTTTTAGGCAACTGAAATAACTATTAACTGTAATGAACTGAAAAGGGTTGAAGTTCTAAGACAAACACAAAGACAACATCATGTGATAGCTACCTGTTATTCAAAAGTAAGCATGTTGCTTTATCATCAAATTACTTATTTTTATTAGATCAAATGATCTCAAATGAAAATCCTGCTATATTGAAGAATACATAAAACTAGCAATCGAGACAATAAAATCATTAGGAAAATGTTCACTGAGGTGATAAATCGAGTGAAAAGTAGGATAATTTTTTCATAGACTTCTATACATTAGACTTTGTTGCGGTTTAGGGCCAGTTGCAAACCTGAGCTTGATGTACTTTTTAAAACTCATCAAGATCTTCACCTCTGTTCCTCTCTTTCTTCCAGCTCTCCTCTGTCTTGTGGGCGAAGGTGCTGAGGCCCATTTCATACCATGATGCCAAGCAGGCAGCCACAGAGTACCACTCTGCAAAGTTGGCGCTCATCAAGGCCTTCCACAAGTCGGGCCTGGGGGCCTGGGTTAAAAGCCCATCGAGCAAGACCAGTTCGGCCTGAGCTCCTGAGGGAGTCAAGGGACCAACGGATTCCTAAACCCTCCACTCCTTCCCCCCCCCCCCCCCCCCCGACCCAGGCCTGAAAGCAAGAGAGCCCCCCTAATACCAACCAGAGACACTTACCTCCGTCCCATGTGTCGGCACGCACGTGCAGTTTGTAATCGTGGAAATAAACGTGCGTAGTTTCACAAACCATCCATCGCTCATTACTCTCATTCCTCAGAGGACCTCGGCCTCGCCATGTCTTTTCTCATAATATTGTTTGTTGTCCTTTTTTTAAATTTGATTTGTAACGGATGATTCCAGCTCCTTGTTTTTAAAACTGGATATTATGTTTTATGTAGTTGATGTGGAAGTTGAAATTATGCAGTTTTGTCTACTTTTTGCAGTGTAGCCAGTTCAGGGTAGCCTAAGAAAACGGGATCTTTTCTTAACTAAAAGACCAACGTGTATGGACCACGGGGAAAAATGTGCTAAAATGAATGACAAACTTTAATTTAAGGATGCATAAAATCTTCAGGATGTAAATGTAGTGCTGAAAAGAAAGAGAGCATAGTTATATAACGTTTAATGTGTGTTATTTGCTTCCGTTCCTTTAGATGATGTTCTTAGATCCTGTATTAAAAATGTTCCAAAAATATTGTGACCCCTGTTTGATTCACTGACTGGAACACACAGGCTAGCAGTTTAGCACTCTTTTTTGTTTTATTCCTTTTTTGTCTTGCAGAATTTGTGCATAAGTTATTTTCTGTCACACTCATCTCATACTTGAACAGTGGTGGGGGTCTCCACTCCTCCCCTGGCCTGGGTCTTTGGGACGAGCTTTGGGAGGCGCTGCACGTTGTATTTTTTCCATGATCTAAGCCATGGCTTTGCATGGGAACTGAACTGGGAGGCCTACGGAGCAGAAACCCCCACTGCGGAGAGCCCGTGCGCCCCAGCAGTGAATGATTTCTGAATGAATGCCAGCATCTTCCTCCACAGGCAGCTTTGAATCTCTATTGTCTCTATTTTCTAGATTTCCTGTGATTGTTTGTCTGTTTTTGGAAGGACGGGACCTTTTTGTTTTTGTTTCTTAAAATTGGGCATTTGAGGATTGGGGATGATACTGCAGTGAAAAGCAGACCTTGTGGCAGGGTAGGTAAACTCTTAAAAGATGATCTTTGTGCTGTAGTGCCACATACGGGACGCCACATTATACCAGTCTGTAGTGAAAGGCTGAAATGCAAACATGTGTCAGGATTGGAGAGATTATGCTTCTATCTGCTCGATTTACAACCAAATGTGTCACAGTGTGATGTCATTCTTCTCTTCTACATCTACGGGATGGGAGCACGTTAGTAGTTCAAAGAAGACCTTCGCCCTGAGTGCATAAATGTATTTTAAACTCTGTGGACATACTTACCAAGTAACTGCGGTCAATTCCTATTCCCAGCTGTAGGAAATGTATGTATGTATGTGTGTGCAATCTACAGTATGTGTGATGTCTTCAAGCATACTCTGTGGAATTAATCTTCACCAAAGATGATGTCCATTTGTGTTTCCTGCCCCTCCTTTCTTTTTTTAAATCACTGTTTTTGTATATCTGCTGAAAAATGTACCTTTTGCGAGAAAAACTGTGTATAACATTCGATATTTTGGGGGGAAATGAAATTGCCCGGCTTCTTTAGTGCATCTGTCGCGTGTATAGTGTGACCTGCGATCATTATTGCTGCAGTGTAGTAATCTCTGTATATAATGAGCAACACAAATGATTCCCTGTACAATCAGCTCATCCTGAAAAAAAATGACCCTGTTGCTGCGGGGGGGTTGTGAAGATGTTAAAAGTATTTGTGGTTGTGTGTGTCACCAGGCACCGTAACAGTATGGCACTAACACTGCCGGGGTTAACAGGCTTCATCCCCATTGTAGCCACCGGGGAAAAAAAATATATGCACTGTAAGGTGTCTCAGCTACAAGTGGCATCCACAAGCTGGCACGTGTGATGTCATAAGTGTTTTTTACTTGGATTTCAGTCAGTATTAGGAAAGCAGGAAGTAGAAAAACTGGATTGTAGAATTATTTATTTTTTTATCCAAAGCCCCGCCCCCTCCCCTTTTAGGACATATAGTCCCAAACCAAAGTCACAAGCAATACTCCTGATGTCTCCTTTAATGTCACCGCATCACAAACAGGAGTTACCCCTTTTCCCATTCACTTTTTCTTTCTCTCTCCCCTCCCCCAAAGACTGCCTGCTTTTAGATTTTTTTTTTTTTTTTACCAGGTCTTTTTTTTTTTTTACTGCACTAAAAGATGTCAAATGATGATGTCATGATAAAAACCCATCCCCGTTTCCGGATTATGGATGGCAACTATCACACAACTAAAACTGCTTCTGCTTAATAACCCCTTTGTGAATCCCCGATGATGGTCAGTGCCCCCCCTACACCACCCACCCCTCTTTGGCCATGCAGCTGCGTCTGTAGTTGGTTTTTTTTCTTGTTTTTTATTTTTTATTTGCTGGTGACTCCGGAGTGGTCGGTGTTTGTCCGCTCAGTGTTTCCTGACATCGCCGCTCTCCAGTTGTCCGCTGTACGAAAAAGTCCACCAACAAGAAAAACCCACAACCTTGCATGTTACCGACACTGAAGCTGCACCTAGCATGATGACACACTTTTAAAGGACTCCAGTAGGAAAAAAAACGTTAAAAAAAAAGCTAAAGATAGATATATAAAATGAACAAAAAACAATAAAAGAGTTCTTAGTTTACTTTTGCACATGGTTGGGATTTTTTCTTATCGAGTGTTTGTCTCCGTGTGTGTTAACTTTGTTAAGAATGGAGAAAAAACATTTACTGAATGCTTTCTGATTAATTTGCTTTTTCTGTGTACTGCATGAAAAGACTGAAAGGATTTGCAGCCTCAACTTAATGCCTTAGGGGTGCTTTATCACAGAAACCTTTAATGTAGATAAATATTGTATGAGCGTCATCAGGATAGAGTAAATGCATCCTCTTCCTTAAGATTGCTGAACTAGCTTTTGCTTTGATTGATATGAAGACATCGATGTGTGTATTCTGATACTTAACTCAAGTACAAGCACCTATACAGTACAAGAATGTAAAACTATTAGCAAAATGTACTTGGAAATTCTGTTTCCAAGTGCTTTCTAACATTAGGGTCAGGCCCCATCCACAAGATTAATTTGAAAGGAAGGGGATAATTAATGTTGCAGAGAACAGGATATACTCTTTATTCCTTTCTTTATTTTCTCAACAAACATTGAAAAAAGTGTTTCATTAAAGCAAGTAGAAAAATAGCATAAACAGCGATTCATTTTATTTGGACCTCAAGAAGTTTAGAGGGCAAATTGTCTCTCTGGTGTTCCTGCTAACATCTCAAGATATCTAAAATGTGACAAGAGGCCCAACTACACTACTGTTGGTAAAGACATTGGGATCCGATGGTTCAATCTTGAATTGTATGTAGTTTTGTTGATTTCCCTTTAAAATGTAATGGGGTAGAAGTACTTATAGTATAAAATGAAAAGTGCCAGTAATGCTAGAGTGTACTGTATATTTTGGTCATCATAAACACCCAGACCCAGATACTCAAAGTTCACACTTGCCCCGTCTGTGATGGTCGACGATGACACCATGGTGGTAAAGGTAAGAATCCAATGCAACAGTATTCATACATGTATGTTGTCAAAAGGCCCCCTCTGTGCATACCTGAGTATTTCAATGAAACCATAGCTTATTAAGAATTTTCTAAATGTGTATAGTACATTTTTACTAAAGCATCTTTTAAATATATAACATTTTTTAATTAATCAATAACACAAGTGGTTATCGGGAAATCGAGATGTTAAGTAGTCACGTTGTTTTGTAGGTCGACCCGGAAGTTAGCATTGCATAGGCTTCCTCAACAAAAAGCAATGGGATTTTTCCATTGGATTTTGGAATATGGAAAAGAAAAGATCTGTGGCAAACATACGTTTATGATACTTACATGTTTTGTTCAGCAGGATAATCTCCACATATTAACACCACCACAAGTGCCAGAAATAAATAGCTAGCGTTAGGCTAAAAACAAACATCACATTCGCAAGGCTTCATGTCACCACCGCTAAGCTAAAGGTGGCTAATGTTCATTTGTGGGGGAAACTTCTGAAGCAATTGGAGTCAGGACTCAAAGACACACGAGGAGAGCTGGAGCTTTGATGGCAAACACTGACGGTTTATTTGGAGCTTCGGCCGGAGAATTCACAAGACATGTCACGGGCCACGGTTTGACCACACGGTTGAGATGCCACAATCAATTCTGAAGAACTCTACCCCAGACCCATGTATTTAGCTAGTTCAGAGAGAATAATCAACATTGTGCATAACAAGATAGAATCATAACACCTCTATCAGCTGACGCCAACAGGCAGGAACAGGGAGACAGAACACTGAGAGCACAGCAGCCAAGGTTACGAGGTGCGTGTGCTCAGTCGGGACAGTTTGAACTGATAAACTGGTCAAAGCTATGGGCCTTGGAAATTATTTCCCCAACAGTTCAGTGTGTTGACGTTAGTCTCATTTAGTCACTTGTTAGCGACAACTGTTTTTAAGAAGCGTAAAAGCTTCAGACGTTCACAGGTAATGTGTTTACTGACCTATTTTATGTCAAACAAAACGTACAAACTTGTAAGCTCATTCGGAGATCTAACCAAAAACAAACCAAAAGAGCTCAAATGCTAACTCATTTCCAGGTTTATTTCCTGCACAACTCTTATATTCCACGTGCGGTAGTGAAGCTTGGTATGCTTGCTGAGAGGAATATTTTAGCAGACACAAATTACAAAAGTGTTTGGTGTCAATCAGACTCAAGGTGAGGCTGCAGTGAGACAGAAGCGTCTCGTGCATTTTCCTGCTGCTTCCTTTAATCCAACTCACACAGGGAGTGAAGTCGCACGGCATCTATTGCACATCTGTCCGTCCTGGGAGAGGGATCCCTCCTCTGTTGCTCTCCCTGAGGTTTCTCCCATTTTTCCCTTTAAACTGGGTTTTCTCCGGAAGTTTTTCCTTGTACGATGTGAGGGTCTAAGGACAGAGGGTGTCGTATTGTCATACTGATATTCTGTACAAACTGTGAAGACCACTGAGACAAATGTAACATTTGTGATATTGGGCTATATAAATAAACATTGATTGATTGAAGTCGGGTCATCGAGAGTTTGGGTGTGGTTACAGTACTTTTATAATGTAAAGTTAACGAGTAAAAGAAGGAAAACTAAATGTGATCTGAGAGACAACTGAGAGAAAATGCATGAACATGACCTCACACTTTAATAATGCTGACTCACTATAATGCTACTTAGCATGCTATCCGCGTTTAGCATACTGAACACCAACCTTCAAACGATTCTCAAATTCAATCAATTAAATGGGGAAAAAGTCTTGAATATTAAAAAGATAGAAATGATGACGAGTATCCAGTCAATAAAGAACATTTTACAAAATGCAGAGCGAGTGTGTGTTTTCAGCAGATGCCCAAAATATCAATAATAAATCAGGTTTTGCTTCTAACCCCTTGCTCATTACTCAATTGACATGATGAAAACTCATGAAAAGCAGATTCAAACAGTCATAACAGAAAATGTTGGAAACTCTCGTCAATAATTCAACACGCATCTGCCGAGTCTTACTCTTGCTGCATAAACATTCATATTGACACATCTATCAGAAGTGCAACATTTTAAAGTTACACCACATTTAATTTGCTTGTTTGTCATATATTCCTTGGGCAGTGTTGAATGAAGAATTCAGATTCTTCAGATCGGCCACATTCTCATGAAACACTTTTCAGATCTTGGTCGTTTTGTACTGTATATTACTGGTTGAAATATTGTAGTCTTCATATGTCTGGATCGTAGGATAATAGAGAAACAAAACCAACAGATGAGCAGCATCAGCTAAACACTGAATTTAACTTTTTATTGATCGTTTTTCTGATTTTAATTACTGGGTAAATTCATTTCACAGAGAAGGAGACCTCCCTGGATGATTGGGCTCCAGGTAAAAATATCCAGAACTTCTGGATCTAGGAGAGACAACTCAAGCAAACATTAATCCCAACACAGCTCACAAGACCCTTGCAAATCGTTAGCTATCGACTATGTCTCAAAACACCGATTGATAACGTCTAACTGCTTTATTCTGCGTTTATACAGACTTTTATCAACAGGTTTAATTTGTTATGAGAAAGGAAAATACCTCTGCAGGAAATTCGGCTCACAGTAAAAACTTCCTGACAATGAAAATGAAGTAACTTAAACCAGGAGAAGTTGACTTCAATGACAGGAATATTGGTCAAGACTACAACTCCCATGACCCCACACTCCTTCACAACGACAATTATTTAATATCAGGAGAGTGGGTTTTACAGCAGGTTTAACAAACTTATGAAAGTGGCAGAACAATATTGAAGTCATTTCACCTCTTTCTTTATCAGATTTATTTTTCTTATGATGCAATAAAGCCACCAAAAAAATATTGACTTCTGCTCTAACTATGATTAGCCGATGTTAAACCCCATCCCCCCGCCACCGGGGGGGAAAACGCATCTTCTGCAGGAAACAGCGTCTGAGGGCTTTTAATATTTAATAAACTATGAATGTTTCAAATCCATGTAACGGAAAGAAACTCAGCTAACTGGTATTTTTTTTCTTTTTTTTGCAAAAAAAAACACAAAGCTAATGCTGAGCCTCTGAATTAGCCCAGAGCAGAAAACACGGTATAACACCCTTATTACTAATCGTAACTGCACATCCAACATATCGATTAGCATCGTGGGAATACACAGAATCGATAGGTATGTATATCATCACTCCATGATAAGAACTCACGACATTATAAACAAAAACAGACATCACAACACGTGGCGCTAGGTAGCCAAAACGGCAATATGTCTTACCTTTGTCGTTGTCTGATCAAAAGTTGTCTTCAATGACATTAAAACGATAAAAACGCTATTGAAGTTTAATCCAATTTGTCTGTCACTTTGAAATGATTTCTGATTTTGCTTGACACGGACGAAGACAGTCAAATTGTTTACAGGCTCCCACTACCTGTTAGCATCTAGCTCTCCTGCTTACAAACATTTAGCCTAGGGTGACCAGACGTCCCCGTTTTCCGGGGACAGTCCCCGTTTGTATTGGCCTGTCCCCGGTTGAAACTGTCCCCGGAAATGTCCCAGTTTTTTAATATACGTTAAAAACACATGCGTGCGTGCGTGTGTGCGTGCGTGCGTGCGTGCGTGCGTGCGTGCGTGCGTGCGTGCGTGCGTGCGTGCGTGCGTGCGTGCGTGCGTGCGTGGTCATACTTGCCAACCCTCACGATTTTCGCGGGAGTCTCCCGATTTCATTGCCCTCTCCCCGGTTTCCTCCCGGGGTCATATTTCTCCCGATTTCTGACAAAATCAGATTTACTCACGACTGTTTCCACTCTGACTTTAATACAGCTACACCATTGTTTGGTTTCCATGGTAGCGCGTCTCTTTAGCAGCGCGCGCAACTCAAAGTTTGAGAGGGTGGGGAAGATGAAAACTGAACAAGAATCGACAACTCCACCCTCTGCTCACTCCTTTCCTGTAAAATACAGGTCCAGCCCACACATATGCTCCATGGTGCCACAGGCATTGCCCTTACAACTACAATAAGCATGTAAATGTTAATCTACAGCTCCGGCGATCCACTAGCACCAGAGTCTCCTGCAGACAACTACT